AAAAAAAATTGACTACAACACTGTTCAACCTCTTTCAAGATAAAAAATTCTAGCTCTGTCGCTGGGCACAACGATAGATCAACAATCATGAAGCTAATCTCAAATAATAGGATTAAATTCTCTATTAAGCAAGGTTGAACTTAACTGTCTAGGAAGTGTAAAGCAACTAGTTATGAGAATCACCACACCCACCCACACCAAGAAAAACAGTTTCCTTTGCTGCAAATATACGATCTTTTTAAGCGAAAAAAAATAATAGTCATGTATTATCAATCATGTGAATACACCCCAGTTTGGTCCTATGATAGGCACTGTTGGCGAAAGAGAAAAAAGTATTTCTTTATCTGAGTGGAGGCATAGTTCTAAATGTATAAGGATTCCATTCCGAAAATTGAACACCCACTTCCTGAAAACATCATTTTGACAAGAAAATATGGTGAGGAGAACTTAATCTTCAAGGTAGTGTGGATGCTAATCCATTTCCTGGCACAAGGCAAAGGCAGTGGCGAACATGATAAGCAATGCTTGGTCGCTCATTACGTCGGGCAAAGGCTTCACCCTAACAATCGTTCTTATCTTTGTCTCACTTTTTGTTTTTGTTGTAAAAATCACCACAAGAAAATAAACTTGTAAAACGATCATCCTAATTTCATCTTGAAGTTCTGTGTATTACTCATGAGTAATATAAGTACCGTTATTTTCTCTAAGTTATTGATAATAATTGGGGGATCCAGGGGCCATCACGCTTTCATCTGTAAAGCATTTTCAGTCTCATACCATGGTGTATCATCTCTGGAGGTGGGATCCTTTTGTGGCTTCTCTTTACTTCTTTCTTTATCTTCTGTTCAGTCTCTATTGTTGGTGCCTTCTCTTAACTATGCCTCCAAAAGAACACCTTTTAGCCATTCTGTCCCTTTCATACTATCAAGTTCTTCCGACAAAACCCTTGTATAACCTGAAGAACCCAACTGGGTAGTCAATAAATAAGGTCCAAATACAATAAATTGCATAAAGAAGATAAACAGATGTGCAGTCTAAAACATGGGCATATGTGTCTCTATGATTTACCTAAAAAAAAGAACAAAAGATCCAGACAACAACGAGGTGTCCTAGCCTTCTAGGGTTTGTAGTTTGTCAAGACTACCACACAAAATAATAGGATGTTGGAAGGCACCTATAAATGCAAGTAACAACTGTGAACTGTTTTAATAAAGAAGATCAAACACTCGTATTGAAGAAGATTCAAGCAAAGCCCTTATCTTTCTCTCCGTAACTCTCTCTCTCTCTCTCTATATGTAAACGTCGCTGGCAAAGAATAACGAACGAAAAAAAGATGAGAAACAAGAACGAAAGAAACGAAGAGAAAAAGAAAGTGAAAAGCCAGATGATAGAGGAAGGCAAGGAATATAGATGGTTCAGGTTCGGAAATATAACGGCTTTCTGAAGCGAAGTGGCAGAAGGCGGTGTGCGCATCCGAACCTTACTTTCGAAAATACAACCGTTACCCAGAACCGGTTTTGAATATGGAGCAACTAGGACTTAAAAGGGCAAAGTTCACTGAGATTCCTAAACTTTAGCACTAGTTTCAATTTAATCCCTAGACTTTATTTTTTCTTCATATTAGACCATCTCCAATAGAAACTCGAACCCTTACTCAAATTTGAGTAAAAAAAAAGGCAAAAAAACTTGATTTTTTTTAAGAGTGTCAATCTTGTCGTGTTCGTGACCTGCATGTAGTGTTATTCGTGTCGTGTTCGTGTCAAGATTTATGAAAAAATATATATATATTTAATGTATTATGAGTATTAAACGTTAATCTATACTATTTATTATGCATATTTAATAATCGTGCCAATTTTTTAATCGTTCGTATCATCGGGTTAGAGTTGACACCTCTAATTTTTATAGACCTCTCTAATGGAGAAATTCAAATTTAAATGAAGAGAAATCTAAATTTAAATGAAGAGAAACCCAAATTTAAAAGAGGATAAAATATAACTATTGAATCTTTAAAAGAGGGTGTTATCTCACTATTAAAAATTTGGATTAACTAGAAAACGAATTTTCTAATATGTACTACCTTTGTAGTTGTTGAAAAATTAGGGAGTGGGAGGCGAGTAAACTTTTGCTTTTTTTTGAGTTCCCCTTGCACCCTGACTGCAGGTGATGGTACTTGAAATGGCTTGTTGTTGCATAAATTCATCAAGTGATACGCATTAATTTGTTTGCCACATAAAACGAACTATTTATTGCATAATGCAACTAAGAATTTTGAGAAATGAAAACATTTACTTACAGAGAAGAAGATAGGTAAGTACTATCAACCCGTTTGTGGAGCGATGCATGCACACATATCAATTACCTAGTACATTTTTGACACGATAATTTAGTTTCATTCTCATAATGTCAGAACAATAAAATCAACAAAATTAACATTCACGCACACTCAGCCATTGGTGCGGGACAAAGGTCTGTAACACTTCCCTCATGCCTTGATCATGATCACCAAATGATATCATAAGCTCACTATACGTAGACAAAAAACATTATTTTTTTTGTGTTGTTGCTTTGAAAAATGACACGTGAATTAGCAGTTGTTAAGCATAAGTTATAGCGTCAAATATAGGGTACACCAACACATACTCAAATGACAAGTTTTTGTCATATATGTAATTGTAGATGGCGCGCTCCACATCAGCATTGATATGGGTTAATCGTGGGAACACCACATCTGCCATCTACAACACAATTTATCTTATAAGGTGTTCAAAGTGCCACTCACTTGAAAACTCATGTTGAATTTTTAATACAAAACACAATAAATCATACTTCATCTGGGTGGTGTCCCTCTGTGGCTTGTGGATCATCCAATTCAACCTAAAATATAAATTTCTCATTTTTTAGTTCACGTCAAAAAGTCGTCAGTAAGAGATGTGGTAATACATTTAACAACACATATAATGTTTCACTACTGAAACGGATAATATACACACATTCGTGAGATCAATTTCATCTTCCTCGTTATTTCCCCCCATGTCATGTGGCACCTCCTTCGCTTTCACCGATTTATCAACAAATTGGGACATATGTCCAATCTCACCAAGTCTTTTCTCAATCATAGACATAGATGTTGTGCAGTGTGATGCTAAAGTATCAAACTTTTTTTTTATGTGCTCAGCAACAACCTCAAGCCTTCCAATTCTGACACGCAAATCCTATGAACCAATATACATAATAATTGAAAGTACGGTTAATTATTTGTAGCCACAAGTTTCAAAAAAAATATATATATAACCAAGCATAGTAAAAGCAGTATTCGCCATGATATTCTATATAACATTTTGGGAAATATATACATTCTACATGATATATTTATATACTCCAGACACTGCTTGCTGGGTTGCGGTACCAAGTGCATCATCAATTAACTCCTCCTCAACAAATACATCCAACTGCATATATAAAACCAATGATAAAAATTATGGGCATCAAATAATATGCAAGACACTATCATACAACAGTGCATATAAAAAAAATAACAATATTTATACCTCATCGAGATTGAAGCCTCCTAACTCCAAGATAACACTCATTCGTTTACTGATATCGCTGTCACTCCACTGTCCAATTCGTGGGACCTCCCGAAAAACTAAGGGAATGATGGTTTCTCCTCTTGGTGTAACTTGTTCAAGATATAAAACTTACATACCAAATAAAATGAAGACCATAAGACACTATTTACCCATTGTATACCACATATACATTAACAAACATGATTTTTATAAGTAAATTACCATCAGAAATACCAGACAGCCATCCAATTATCCCCATTCGGAACATTGAAATTTTTGAATACCTTCGATGACTCCATCAAATACAAACTTGCACCAATTAGTGTGCCTTAAAGAAGGCAGGTCAACAACATAATGTAATGTAGTAACACTTAGCGTAGTTCGCATTGTTGGACGAAGCATACAACCAATAATATATAAAACAGACAGCCGTATAAATTCGTCAGAGGCATCTGTGATTGAAGTAAGGTGCTCTGCCAAATATTTCAAAGATACCTCTAGTTGTCCGTTAAATGTAGACATACAAAGATCATTAATACTGTCCTTTGTACCCGTTGTCACCGCATTTGTCCCTGCGAATTGCAAACCTAGTATGTAGGTGACATCTTGGGCGGTGAGCTTCACCCATTTCCCATACAAGTTGAACGCACACTTTTGGGGATCAAATCGTTCTGCCAACCATGCACACAAATCATGCCTAATATATGTGAATTGTATGCTGAGCAATCCCCCCAAGCCAATTTTGATGATGGCTTGTTTTTGTGCGGCATTTAATTTGTGGCAAATTTCACTAGTCTTTTTGGTGAATATCTTGTCGCCACAAAATGTTGTACACGTAAAGTAATGGAAGTATTAATGTGAAACAGTATATGTCCAGTTAAACAAACTGATTATTTGTATGTATAATTGTCAACATATCTTAATGTAAGAATGTATAACATACTTGTCTAGATGTCTGGCCTATAATATTGGCCCGTTTTCATCGCCGTTGCTTCCCTTTTGTGGTAGTAGTGACCAATTTTTTCCTCTTCAACCTAGTGCAATTTGTTGTCATTTAATACAAATTGTGAATATCTAACATATAAAAATATGTAAGAACAATCAAATTTCTTTACATTGTGTTTGCCTCAGATGTAAATACACTCAACCACAACAGGCCTTCTAAGATGAATCACCGGTACCTACAAACCACCATTTATTGGATTAGCTTTGATTATAAATGGAACTAGGGATAACCCATGCCTTAACATAAATCAACCGGTTAATTTGAAAAAAAAAATTACTTTAATTTTCTTTAATTAAAGAAATTGAAATAAATATATTCAATTATAGAAAAGCCAAGTACAAACAAAATGATGCCAAAAAAATTCTACTTGTCTCCATGGAAGCAAAAAGTTCAAGCAAAAACAATTCTATGTAATTTACACCATGAAATTTTACATCAAATAAAGCTTAATAAATAAACTCACATTCCCCAATTATATATACCTCAAAATTCAAATAAAATCGAACCGTAGCAAAATCTAAATCAAACCACAAATAATTAGAAGATCTCTTGCTATGTCACTGTTTCAAGTGACTAACGTAGCCAGCTAGTAAATAATCACAACATGAAAATATAAAACAATTATGCGTCTAATACCACACAACACAAATAACTCCCAACAATCCAAATACGAATATTAGACACTCTTATGCAAACACTAACCAAGTCAAATACCAAAAGTGACATTATTCACTCTATTAAAACCCCCCAAAAATTTGAATAGAAAATTAATCATCAAACAATCCAAACTTTTAAGAAAAAAAAATTAGCAAAACCAAAAAAAAAAAAGGCCAAATTTCAATGAACAATGTACATATAAAAAAAACCAATGAACCATATATCATTCTCTAAATTACTCTTTTTATTAAAGCCTTTTTCCCTCACAAATAATAACCTATTTTATCACTTTCTACAACAAAAAAGACTAATTTCTTTCCTCATTAACACTGAAGAAAATAAAAATAACTAAAACAAAAAATGTGTAGACATAAAAGTGGGTGCATGGGCAAGTGATCAAGGGAACAAATATAGACTGTAGAATCATGTAGGTTTGAAAAATATGTCACTACCACTACGGCAGGCTAACAATATCCAAATTTTTGCACTCATTAAACCATCCATTAAACATCGCATAAAGAATGATGACTTCGCATAATTATTTGGAATCGAAAGATACACAACCTAATTATTCACACCTAAAGTAACCTAGAGTGATGCAATTACCAAATCAATTCAAGTAGAAGACATGCAATTAGCAATCCAAAAATTTGAATCGAATCTAAAATAACTACAAAGTTTGCACCAAAATCAAACATGAAGTAATTACAAAATTCATTGAACCTTATCAAATCAAATTCAAATTACATCTAAGCAAACTGAGTTCACCTAAAGTAATAGTAATTGTAAAATCAAACCGGTTCATTTATTTCACGTGTCTGCCGAGTTAACCCGTTAACCACTCGAACCCGTTAAGACTATATCCCCAACACATTGGAATTAACAAAATTCCCAGCAAACTTGGCTATTGAAAGTGGACGTAGGTCTAGTTGACCGAACCACTATAAACCCTGTTTCTTCTCTCCCTCTACTTTACTACATTTTATACTATTACTTGACTAGTGGTGTGCAAGCCAATTTTGTGCATCATTAGTTTGGCGCCGTCTATGGGAAACGACAAAATTCTTACCTAAACACTTTCTTTGTTGAATCTGTAGTCGTCACCATCAGATCGATAAATCCCTCTGAAGACAATCCACCATGAGAGGAGGAGATTGTTCCTCCGCCTGCCAATCCTGTCTCAAATGTGCAGCAGATGCTAAAGACTATGCAGCAGCTCGTGGCCCAGAATCAGTAGATTCTGCAGTTAATGCTCGGGCAACAAGGAAGGGCGCAACCTGGACCTCAAGCCAGGGGAGCTTCACTCCCTAGTCATCAAGGAGCTCCTCACCTAGGCGCTCCCCCATCCAGGTGCCCCCTTGGGCGCCCCACCTTTGGGAGCTCCCTTGGGCACCCCACATGGGGAGGCCCACCATGAAGGACCTCTTCCTCCAGTCCCTGCTCATGCTCCCCGTGGTGGAGACTCTCTTCTCCAAGAGGACGAGGGTGAAAACCAAAGCATGGAGCATGAGAGTCATTTTTCTGGTAATTCTAGAGAACCTCCTCTCAATAAATGGGACAAAAAAATTAAGGAGGTGTAAAATTAGTTGGGTGACGTCTTCAACGCCATGAAGGCGTAGGGTCCCGAGACAGTAGACTACCTCGTAAGTCGAACTAACACACCTTTCAAACCTGATGTAGTGAACTATCCACTTCCTCAAAAATTCAAGATGCCTTCCGTCAAGACCTTTGATGGTACGAAGGATCCACTAGACCACGTTGAAACTTTTAAAACCTTGATGCAGCTGCATAACGTCCCCGATGAGATCACGTGCAGAGCATTCCCAACTACCTTGAAGGGATCCGCTCGGCAATGGTTTGCCAAACTTTCCTCAGCCTCCATTGGCACATTTGCTGAGCTAAGCAAGTCTTTCGTGTCACACTTCATTGGAGGACGCCACCACCAGAAGCCTGCCACCCACTTGTTCACCATAAAGCAAGACCGAGATAAGAGCTTGAGGAGTTACCTCATTCGTTTTAACAAGGAGGTCCTTCAAGTCGAGGAACCCGATGATAAGGTGAGCATAACCGATTTCCTAGGGGGACTCCGGTCGTCAAGCTTTCTTTTCTCTGTAATGAAGCGTCCACCAAAGAACATGCTAGAGTTATTGGCGAAGGCCCAGAAATACATGAATGCTAAAGATATTACAAGGGCCACATGAGGGGAGTCCTCTAGAGCTGGAGAGAAAAGAAAAGAAAAAGATAGAGATGATAAGAGGGAGAATAATATCAAGCGTAGCAGGATGGAGAGAGTACCTGCCAAAGACCGGCTCGGTCCTGCTACCCAGAGAGATCGACAAGCCTTCACTCCCCTCAATGCCACCGTCGGGCACATCCTATTATAGATCCAGGATGACCCCACAATAAAGTGGCCTGGAAGAATGAAGTCTCTACCGAACAAAAAGGAACCCAAACAAGTATTGTAGCTTCCATTGCGACCATGGTCATAACACCGATGATTGTTATGATCTCAAAAGGCAGATTGAGGAGCTCATCCAACGGGGTCATCTTTGCCAGTATGTTACCGGTAAGGGACAGACGATAGCACCACCCCGTAATCAGGAAGACCAACAGTCCATCGGAGAAATTCACACCATTTTCAGAGGGCTTGCAGGAGGGGGAGAATCCTTCTCCGTCATGAAGGCTCATGCCAAGAAGGCCAGACACCCCAACGAATTGCCCCCATCTAAGGCGCCCAAGCATGGCAGTAGCGAGGTCATTTCCTTCTCGGACAAGGATTTGGAAGGAATCTAGCACCCCCATGATGACCCTCTGGTGCTCACCATAACCGTAGCCAACTTCCAGGTGCGAAGGATTCTTGTGGACAGCGGCCACTCTGCGGATATCTTGTCCGCAGTGGCATATGATAAGCTCAACTTGGGCAGAGAAATATTGCAACCCATCAAGTCGCCCCTTATTGGGTTCTCAGGGGAGAAGGCGTATCCCCTAGGGTCTATCACCCTACTTGTCACTGCCGGAGCGGCATCTCGAAGCTCCACGGTTATAATCAACTTTTTGGTGATAGATTGCCCTTCAACCTACAATATTATCCTAGGGCGACCAGGATAATATTACATCCCGAGAGAAGACAACATGGCCGCTAATACACTTGCCAGGCTCACCTCATCCTTGGAAGCCCCACCAGGAGAACCAGCATTCATTGGTCACCAATTCGGAC